ATGTAGATGGAGACTCTTAAGGTGTCTAGAAAATTCACTCTGCTTTTCCTGTCCAATAGTCTCCTTGGTGGGCGGGACATTCTCCCACATCTCTCTTGTTTTTCTTCTTTAACTGTCTTTGAGGCAGGGTCTCTTACATAGCCATAACTCTGACTGTCCTGGAACCCACTCTGTAGACCAGGCTGATCCGGAACTCGGAGATCCACCTGCCTCTGCCTCCCGAGTGCTGGGGTTAAAGGCGTGCACCACCACCTGCTTGGCGACAGGTTCTTTGTTTTTATCACTTGGGAGGCAGAGGCAAGTGGATCTTTATGAGTTCGAGGCCATTTGGAAGTCAGAGAATGGTTAGGGGGAGTTAGTTCCCTTCTTTCACCACATGGGTCCTGGGGATTAAACTCAGATTGTCAGACTTGGTGTCAAGCGCCTTTACCTACTGAGTTTTCTCACTGGATGATGTATCTCCATTTTCCTTAGTGCACTCTTAGCAAAGTTGATATTCCCCCATGCTCAACTTGTCTGCCATTTTCTCTAAGTGGTCAATGGAGCCTCCTTGTGTTCATTTGCGTTTATGTAGCAAGAGACCCGTGTGGAGGTGCTAGGGAGAAGGCCTAGAGGTTAAGAGCACTGGCTGCTCTTGCAGAGTGCCCGGGTTCGGTTTCAGCACCCATGGTGGCTCACAGTCATCTGTAGCTCTAGTTCCAGGAGGTTCTATGCTATCTTCTAACCTCCTTGAGCATCAGGCACACAGGTGGTGCACATACACACATGTAGGCAAGACATTCACATGCATAAGATGAAAAAAATCTGAGTGAGAGAGAGCAAGCAATGTGCGTAGTTTTTTAAATCCTGAAACTAGGGCTGGGGATATGTCTCCGTAGGAAAAAGTGTGTAGAATCTCCAGCACTTACATTGAAAATAAAGGAAAAATGAAACCCTGAGGCCAAATGAGGTTTGAGTCTGAGGAATAGAACAGCTAGGGAAGAGGTGCCTTGCTTAGGATCTTGCTAGGGCGAGGGTAGAAAAGGGAAGTACCCTCAAGGACTAGTTCCCAAAGAAAACAGTGATATCCATCGGGGGCAAACATGGACAGAGCTGCAGACTGAGTGGACTGCTGGGTCTAGCCGCATGCTTATCACTTGCCGTAAGCAGCAGGTAATGGGAGTGCTGAGACAAGGCTGGGCTACAGAGGTCGAGAAGACAGGAGAAGATGGCTCTTAGGAGCCCTCCCTTTTCTCCTTAGCCGAGGCCCCTGTAGCAGGAGGGAACAGTGTGTGTGTCAAGGGTATAGGTTATCAACATGACTCATCACAGGTGAACCTTGACCACTTGGCTGAGGAAGTGCCTGGCACATTTCTGCCCCACAAAGCTTTGCTTTTCCTCCTTTGCTTAGGACAGTCCTAAGGAGCACGAATGCAGTTAGCTTCCTCTCTGAAGGAAGCCACCATGTGAACTTCTTAGGATTCTGGGGAGAGTTTATGTCTTCTTGCTTGTTTTATCATCCCGGTGATTATTTATTGTTATTTACATATTTTTAGTGCTTCCCTACTTTCTAGTGCTATTCGGTTTCAGGCCCACTTTGTGTATTTCCTTTCTCAGTCCCCAAGTAACCATATTTCTCAGGGGCCCAGTGTTGGAAAATAGTATTAGAAACTAAGGGCTCACATCAAGTGTGCTTATTACTCTTAGTATGTTCTTCTCAGATTGTTGATGGAGGCTGCTAGTTAGTTCCTGGCTGCTTAGCCCCGAAATAATCACACAGAAACTATATTATTTAAATCACTGCTTGGCCCATTAGCTCTAACTTCTTCTTATGTCTTATTTTACCTTATTATATCTTATTATATTATCTTATTATATCTTAATTTAACCCATTTCTATTAGTCTGTGTATTGCCACGTGGCTGTGGCTTACTGGCTAAAGTTCTGTCTGGCTCTGGTGGGACTATTTGGCTTCTCTCTGACTCCGCCTGTCTTTCTCCCAGCATTCAGCTTAGTTTCCCTGCCTAAGTTTTGCCCTGCTATAGGTCCAAAGCAGTTTCTTTATTCATTAATGGTAATCACAGGATATAGAGGAAAATCTCACATCATTAGATGACAGCAAAAGAATTGTGTTTGTGGAGGAGGTGGCAGGTTTTTTTCCCCCTTTTTCTTTGAGAAAGGATCTCATGTGTCCTAGACTCAAATTCACTGTGTAGTTGAAGGTGATTTTGAACTTCTGACTTCCAGGCTCCACCTAGGATTGCTATAAATTCTGGAACTTGTTCTATACACCAAACTGGCCTTGAATTTACAGAGATCCTCCTGTATACCCTCTTAAATGCTGGGGTTGAGGGTGTGTACCACTGCTGTATGGCAAGATTTATTTATTGGATAAATTTTTTTATGAGTATGTATGTCTGGCCTATATGTATGTATGTGCACCACATGCATGTCTGGTGTCTGCAGAGATAAGAAAAGGGTGTTGGATCCCTGGGATTGGAGTTACAGGGGACTGTGAGCTGCCACGTGCATGCCTAGAATCAAACCTGAGTCTTCTGCAAGAACAAGAAGTACTCTTATCCACTTAGCCAGCTCTCCAGCCCCCTGCCTTTTTCTTGGTGTCTTTATAATCCATAGTGCCTTCCTTGTTTGTTTGGGTCAAGGTTTCACATTGTAGCCCAGGCTGGCCTGGAACTTGTGGTAATCCTGTCTTAGCCTACCAAGGGCTAAGATTACTATATGTATCATTATTCCTGTCTTGCATTCCTTTTGTGTGTATATGTATAGTTCATGCATGTCTTAGAGTTTCATTGCTATGAAGAGATGCCATGACCATAACAACTCTTAGAAAGGAAAATATTTAATTGATGCTATATACAGTTTCAGAAGTTTAGTGCATTATCATCATGGTGGGAAGCATGGCAGTGTGCAGGCAGATGTGCTAGAGAGGCAACTGAGAGTTCTATGTCTGTATTGGTAGGGAGTAGAAAGAGAAAATGAACCACTGGGCCTTGCTTGAGCTTCTGAAACCTCAAAGTCCACCTACAGTGACACACTTCCACTAAACAAGGCCACACCTATTCTAACAAGGCCACACCTCCTAATCCCTGCCAGGTAGTGCCACTCCATAAATGACCAAGCACCCAAATATATGAGCCTGTGTATGGGGGCCATTCTTATTTAAGCCACCACATGTTGACTGTGCAGGTGTGCATGCTGAGCCAGGTGAACATAGAGAATGGAATGAGATGGTAAGTGTCTTCTGCTGTCACTGTCTGCCTCTTTGCCTTGAGACAGGGTCTCACTGAACCAGAAAAAAACATTTCAGCTAGACTGGCTGGCCATTACGTTCTTAGAATCCGTCCACTTGTCTTCCCCTTACAGTGCTGGAGTCACAGGCACGTGTTGGACTTTTTAAATGGGTTCTAGGGGTTTGGGCTAAGGTTTTTCATGCTTGTAGAGCAAGTGTTGTGTAGCTGGTCTTTCTTTGAACCGCTAGAACCCAAATAATGACATGGAGACTTTTCATTAGTTATAAAAGCCTGGCCTTAGCTTAGACTTGTTCCCAACTAGCTCTTAAAACTTAAATTAACCCATTTATATTAATCTATGTTCTGCCACGTGGCTTGTTACCTCTCCTTCATATTGTATATTTGACTTCCTCTGAGTCTCACTGGTGAATCCCTGCCTCTCTGATTCTTCCCTCTAGTTCCTCTCTCTTCCTGGAAGTCCTATCTATCCTCTCCTACCCAGCTATTGGCCATTCAGCTCTTTATTAAACCAACCAGAAGGTGCCTTGGCAGAGACATCTTCACAGCATACAAAAAGATTATCCTGGGCTGGAGAGATGGCTTAGAGGTTAAGAGAACTGACTGCTGTTCCAGAGGTCCTGAGTTCAATTCCCAGCAACCACATGAAGGCTCACACCCATTATAATGAGATCTGAGATCTGGTGCCCAAAACACCATATACATAATAAATAAATTAAAAAAAAGATTATCCCACAATGGTGTTGTTACCCACTGAGTCACCTTCCCAGTTCCTCCACCTTGTTTTTGGTTTATTTGCTTGTTTGTTTGAGATAAGATCTCACTATATATATATAGATATATATATATGTATATATATATGTATATGTATATGTGTGTATATATATATATATATTTGTCAGACCTGGAACTCTCTAAATAGACTAGACTGGCCTTGAACTCACAGAGATCCACCTGCCTCTGCCTCCTGAATGCTGGGATTAAAGTTGTGCACCACTATACCCAGCCAATTTTCTTTCTTTTTAAAGATTTGTCTTTAGTATTTCTAATTATGCATATTTGTGTGTGTTGAGGTTGGGGTAGTTGTTACGAATATGTGCAGATGAATAAGTGCCCTTGCCCTCTGAGACCAGAGACGGAATTCCCAGAGTGGGAGTTACAGTTACAGCTGGGATTTTGAGCCACCTATATGGGTGCTGGGAACCCAAGTCTGGCCCTATGGTAGAGCAGTATGTACTTTTAACTGCTGAGCCATCTCTTCAACCCCTTTTTTTCCTCTTCTCTTCTTTTCTTTTCTTTTCTTTTCTTTTTTCTTTTCTTTCCTTTCCTTTCCTTTCCTTTCTTTTCCTTTCCTTTCTTTTTCTTTTTGGTTTGGTTGGTTGTTGTTTTTGTTTTGTTTTGTTTTTTGAGACAGGATTTCTCTGGGTAGCCCAGGCTGTCCTGGAACTCACTTTGTAGACCAGGCTGAACTCAAGCTCAGACATCTACCTATCTCTGTCTCTTGAGTGCTGGGATTAAAGGTATGTGCCAACAACACCTGGCTAATTTTTCTTTCTACATTTATCTTGCTTTTAACAAATCTCTTTCAAACTGGGCAGTGGTGGCGCATACCATCTGAGGGCCAGCGTGGGCTTTGCAGAGTTTCCAAGCAGGATGCAGACTGCTAGTGGTTCCTTGGCAACCGTCTAGAAGCTGTGGTCTGTGTGTATACTTTATAATATCACACTAGTATACTCTAATTTCTTCTCCTCAGGTGGCTCTAACTTGGACAGCTCAAGGACCAATGGGAGAGGCCTGCTTATGGACCAAAGCTCTGGGGCCAGGAGTTCAGATAAGCCAGAAAATTCCCCCACAAGGTAACGCAACCCTCACTTCGTTTGTATCTCTTATGAGTGAGACTGTATTCATCAGAGAATCACCCAGCTGTGTATAACGTAAGTGTTCCAAGTAACTGAAGCCTAAGAAATGTTCCTAATGTGTGTGACACTGCTCTCTTAGTGTGTATGCTAAGTTGCGTCCACTTGCAGGAACTGTGTTTACATCAGAGTTCTGTACTTTACTGTTTTAGAGCTGAGGAGATTCAGGTGACGAAGTTTAAGTGGGTGGAGAGATGGCTCAGTAGTTAAGAGCACTGGCTGCTTTTACGGAGAAGTCAGTTTTGATTGTCAGCAATCACATGGCTCCAGGCGCTTGATGCTCTCTTCTGGGAATTGTACTCAAGTGTACATATCCTTAGGGAGATACACACACGTAAAAATAGTAAAATAGATCTTTAAAAAAAAGGAGAGAGATGCCGAGCAGTGGTGGCACATACCTTTTATCCCAGTACTTAGGAGACAGAAGCAGGAGTATCTCTGTGAGTTTGAGGCCAGCCTGGTCTACAGAGTGAGTTCCAGGACAGCCACAGCAACACAGAGAAATCCTGTCTCGAAAAACCATTAAAAAAAGAAAGAAAGAAAAGAGACTACATAGGTAGGTAGAGGGGATGACTCAGTAGACAAAGCATTGTCTCACTAATCTGAGTTCAGATTCCCAGAACCCATGTTAATCTTTTTTTAATAAGGCACTCAAATTTGAACTTGTAAGCACTCTAACACTCCTGCAGAGATTTAGAAAATGGTGTGGAGAGATATTTTGGCAGTGTAGAGCACTTACTGTGCTATTGTGAGAACCAGAGTCCAGATCAGAGTCCAGATCTCAAGACCTGAGTAACCAACCAGCTGTTCAGTGAACACGCTTATTTTTTTTTTTTTTTGTGACAGGGGTTCTCTGTAGCTTTGGTGCCTGTCCTGAAGCTAGCTCTTGTAGACCAGGGTGGCCTCGAACTCACAGCAGTGAAAACATTTGTATTCCAGGTCCCAGGACAGGAGGATGGGGCACTGAAACAGGAGGATCACTGGGACTTGCTGCCTTCCACCCCAGCTTAGCAAACAGGAGCCCTAGGTTCAGGAAGAAAGCTATTCCAGCCTGCCTGAGGACCTAGAAAGTGATGGAGAGGAGAGACAGTGCCCTCTTTCTGGCCAGTGTGTGCACGCAAACAGATAATTTAAAAAAATTTAAACCTGGCAAAGGTGGCTCACTCCTTCAATCCGGGGGAGGCAGAGGCAGGTGGAGCTTTGTGAATTCAAGGCCAGTCTGGTCTACACAGTGATTTACAGCCCATTCCTCCATACAGCAAAATTCTATTTTAAAAAACAAGGAAAAATATAGGAAACTGAAAATATTTTATTTTCCCCCTCACATTCTTTTTACACTTTCCTGACTTGGAAAACACTTATTTTTTTCTTTACCTCTCTCCCATCATGTACATTGTATTTAGTGTGTTTTCTAAGTGCCTTCCCACTGATGGTAGAATCATATGGTCAAGATAAAATACATTTTAGTCAGTATTTTAGTTATACCTTAAACAACAATGGGAAACCCCCAAATTTGAATGTATTCAGAAATCCACCATTCTAAAAACATTTTGGTATCTGTGTTATATATTCTTAAAAAATTTTTTGAGACACGGTTTCTCTATGTATCCCTGACTGTCATAGAACTCGCTCTGTAGACCAGACTGGCCTTGAACTCACAGGGATTTGCCTGCCTCTGCCTCCCAGTGCTGGGATTAAAAGTGTGCACATCCATGCCCCACTTTAAGACTTTTTAAAAAGGATTTATTTTATGTGAATGAGTGTTTGGTCTGTGTGCCACACATGTATCTGATGCCCTCAGGTTAGAAGACAGCACCAATATCTAGAACTGGAGTTACAGACAGTTGTGAGCCACCAGCTGAACTTGGTTTCTCTACAAGAGCAGCAGGTGCTCTTAACCACTGAGCTATCTCCCCAGTCATACCCCTGTCCTTATTTTTTTTGAGACAGGTTCTCTATGTAGCCCTGGATATCCTAGAATATCTTAGATGGCCTTGAACTCAGAGGTCTGCCTGCCTCTGGCTTTCCAGTGTTGAGATTAACATGTACCAACCACCATGCTGTATACATAACCGTAGCTGATATATAAGTAATGGTGGTGCTATAAATACTCATGTGTTGTCTTAGTCAGTGTTCAGTTGTGAAGAGACACCATGACCACAGCATCTTTTAGTGAAGAAAGCATTTAATTGGGGCTTACTTACAGTTTCAGAGTTTTAGTCTACTATCATCATGGTGGGGAGCATGATGGCATGCAGGCTGGTGCTGGAGCAGTAGCTGAGAGTTAGTTACATCCTGATCCATAGGCAGCAGGAAGAGAGCTTGGGCCTGGCATGGGCTTTTGAAACCTCAAAGCCCACCTCCAGTGTTACACTCCTCTGACAAGGCCACAACCACTCCAACAAAGCCACACCTCCTAATCCTTCTAATCTTTCACATAGTGCCATTCCCTGGTAAGTAATTAAGCATTCAAATATATGAGCCTGTGGGGACTGTTCTTATTCAAACTGCCACACTTGTCATTTAGTCAGTGCTGGGAATGGCTTCAAGAGCCTTATATACTTTAGCTCATTAAGACATCTTCAACGAGTTTCTTTGGTATAACATAGGACCCTGGAAAATGAATATGTCTTGTTTTTCTTATGTTAGCTCTTGAATAATATATATATATATATATATATATATATATATATATATATATATCTCCTGACTATAAATACTATATAATAGTGCAGTCTAAATTTCCATTGCCTTTTTTTTAAGTGATGGTCTTATTTATACTTTTTTTTTTTTTAAGATTTATTTATTTATTGTGTATACAGTATTCTGCCTGCATGTGGCCTTGCAGTCCAGAAGAGGGCACCAGATCTTATTACATGTGATTGTGAGCCACCCTGTGGTTGCTGGGAGTTGAACTCAGAACCTCTGGAAGAGCAGTCTGTGCTCTTTAACTGCTGAGCCATCTCTCCACCCTTTCCATTGCCTTTTTATTTCAGCTTATTCCAAGGGGTGCAGAGGACCTTACATTCTTGCTCTCTGAGGCACAAAGGTGCAGAAAGAATGCTGTCACATCTGAGTGCCAGTCCCTCCAACAGGAATTCTGCTTTGGTAGTGCTAGGGCTTGAACTCAGGACCTTGTGCATACAGGTTGAGTGCTCTGCCTACTGAGCTTTGTCCTAGTCTTCCTTCTTTTTTCATTTAAGATTACTTTGTGACCTAGGATTCTATGAATATATTATCAGAAAAAAATCTCTAGACCAATATACTGTGTAATTGACATATCAGTTTACTTAATCTCCCACTTGTTATTAGCAATAAGTTTAACTTGAACTCCTTTATTCTTCTGTGATTCAGGCACTAGTGTGTGGGAGCATCTCGCTTTATATTTCTTTTCCATGCCAGACTCAAAATGTGATTAAAATGCTTTTATTTTTCCAGACAGAATAAATCTAAGTCTGAAATTACTGACATGGTTCGCTCCTCCACAATCACTGTATCAGACAAGGCTCACATTTTATCCATGCAGAAGTTTGGACTGCGAGACACAATCGTGAAATCACATCTCGTGCAGAAGGAAGAGGATTATACCTACATCCAGAATTTCAGGTAGCTAACTAGGTTCTCACAGTTTTCTTTTCAAATGGGTGTCAGTGTATAGTCCTGACTGGCCTGGGACTTGTTGTATAGACCAGGCTGGCTTCAAACTCACAGAGATTCCCCCTGCCTCTGCTTATGGAATGTTGAAGTTTTAAGATGTACATCAATGGTTTTTCAAGGCAAAATGATCATTCTTCTCTGTGGAATTTAAGCATCTGCCTCACAAACCTTAGATTTGGAAGGAAATTATTCTGTTTGATGTTTTTCCTTTTCAAAAAGTATCATTGCATTCCCTTTCTTGGGGGGTATAGGATAGGGTATGTCTCCCTGTGTTATCCAGCTTGTTTTAGAACTTAGAGTCAAGTCATCCTCCTGTCTCAGCTGTACAAATGCAGGGTTAGAGATACATGCTACTGTGCCCATTCTGGTTGCTCTTCGTGGGCAGCTGTCTGAACATGCTATGTCTCCTCTGAGCAGGCTCTGTGGTTGATGGGTGGAAGTGAGTGGCACAGCTCGCCGGTGGCTGCAGAGATATTTACAGGGATAAATGAGTCCAGAACAAAGAGCGGTACCCGAGTCTCGAGTACCTGCCTGAGGCTTTCTATTCCCGTGGTCACTCCAGGCCTTTGAAGAAAGCCATTAAAATGAAACTTGATGACGTTCAGTAATCCTGTTAGCTGGGCTCTCTGAACATTAAATGAGTGAAGCTTTTAGAGTTCTGCTGGAGCTTTAAAAATCATAGCACTGGGACCATTGTTTCTAGGTATACGGTGACGAAATGACCTCTGGCCGCTCCTGCCACTTTCTTGTCATCTTACCATCTTTTTCCTTTCAGTGGCTCCCACAGAGCCAAGCCATTTTGTGGCTTATGAGTCCACAATGGCTATTTAAGGAAAGGAGGATGTTCAGAGCAGGCTGGACTGCACACTTATTTGTTTGTGTGTTTGAGATAGTGTCTCACCATGTAGCCATGGCTGCCGTAAACTCAGTATGCAGCTCAGGCTGGTCTTGAACTCACAGCCGTCCTCCTTCCTTGCTGTCTCATGTGCTGGGGTTACGAGCATGTGCCACCACACCTGGCTCAGAGAAGACCTGTACTGTTTTCAGTTATCACAGAGGCAGACTGTTAGTCACCCATTGGTGCCATAATTATTGGAGATTAAATAGGACATTTCTTCATGTGTTTTCTTTTTTTCTCAAATACTTTTTTTATGTTTGTTTTTTGAGGCAAGGTTTCTCTGTGTAGCCTTGGCTGTCCTCTAGCTCTGTACACCAGGCTGCCCTGAAACTCACAGAGATCTGCCTTCATCTGCCTCGCAAGTGCTGTGACTAAAGGCATGTGCCACCACTGCCAGGCCATCTCTTATGTCTTAAGATTATGTCTTAAGATTCACAGAGACTGAACCCCAGACTTACCGTTTCTAGGTCACTGATTGAGTCTCTTTGGTGACAGGTTTTTTGTGGGTACATATAATGTGAATGGACAGTCCCCCAAAGAATGCCTCCGGCCCTGGCTGAGCCACAGCGCCCAGGCCCCAGATGTGTACTGTGTTGGGTGAGTGCTCTCCTTCTGTTGTTCCTAGTTCTTTAGAGAGGCACGCTGAAGGAGTGGGGACGTGAACTGAACTGAGTCTTCATAGCAGGTGAAGGGATGGAAATATGAGCTCAGCTCAGTGACAGCTGCTTCTCAGTTTGCTCTTCCTGATAAACAGAGGTTTGGCCGTGTACTGTGCTTGGTATTTAAATGCTAATATTAATTTAGTGTAACCTTCTGTTAAAAATTGGTGTGTCATTGTCTTGACATTCAACACATTTTTGGTCACAAAGCAAAAAATAGTTTTGCCAGGAAAGGAAGGTTCCCTGAAGTCTCATCAGTTAGTCAGTTTTGTGTGTGTGTGTGTGCATTTGTATGAGAGCCAGAGGACAATCTGTTATTCCTTGGCACATGTGCTCGTGTGTGTGTGTGTGTGTGTGTGTGTGTGTGTGTGTGTGTACACATAAATGACAGACAGATAGACAGGGGTTCTCTCTAGTCTGGGGCGTTAGGGCTAGATTGACTGACTAGCAAGCCCCACAAATCTGCCTGCCCATTTCTGCCTCTCAGCCCTGGGTGTGGATCACCATGCTTGGCCTTCATTTTGTTTGTTTGTTTTTCTTTTTGAGGCAGTAGCTTTGGATGTCCTGGACGTTTTTAAGTAGGTCAGGTTGGCCTTGAATTCACAGAGATCTGTACCCCACTGCCTTTGGAGTATTGATAGTAATGCATGAGCTACCATACCTGACCCTATGTTTCGCTTTTTTTTTTTTTAAAAAAAAAAAAAAAAAGAAAACCAACATGGATTCTGGGGATCAAACTCAGGCCCTGTGCTTGTAGAGCAAACACTTTACTGACCGAGTCATCTTCCCAGCCCCTTGTTTTATATAGTTTTAAGAAAGGGTTTACTATGTAGCGCTGACTGGTTCAGAGCTTGCTGTGTGGACCAGGCTTTCCTCTGACTTGTATCAGCTCTCCTGCCTTTGCTGTTCAAGTGCTGGCTTTATAGGTGTGCACCATCATGCTTGGGTTGGTTTGCAGTGCAGTGGGTTGAACACAAGGCACTAAAAGGTGTGAGGCAAGTGCTCTCCTACTGAGCCCCACACTCAGCTCAAGCGTTAATTTCCTCACTATTCTCTCATCACAGTCCGGGGTACAGCTAGAGGAAGGGGCAGCTAGAGAAGCCCTAAAGATCTAATAGAAAGAGCTAGAGCTTGGGATTTCTATAGATCAAACAAAACAAAAAAAAATAGATCTTAATTTGAACTCCAATTTGCTATTTAATCCTTATTAACCTAATGATTCTGGATGTAAAACTGGGGAGTGGGTGCTTCCAACTATTTCAGTAGCTAGGTCATAGGGAGAAAATGAGCTCATGTTCGGAGAAGCATCTGGGAAGGCCCACAACATTCAGTTCTCTGGTTCTGTTTGTTTTTAGCCCTTCTGGAGGGTCCCACAGTTCAGCTAGAAAGCTGGGACCCGAGCACCCGAGCAGACTTGGGGTGTATTCCCTGGTTCACTGTTGCCTCCCTACATAGGTTCCAGGAGCTAGATCTGAGTAAAGAAGCCTTCTTCTTTCATGATACCCCAAAGGAGGAAGAGTGGTTTAAGGCCGTGTCAGAGAGCCTTCACCCAGGTGCCAAGTACGCAAAGGTAAGGGACAGCTGGGGACTTCCTCACTTTCTGTATCCTCAGAAAAGCCTGAGGTAAACGCTCAGCTTTTTGGTGACCGTTCAGTGGGAACCGTTCCTAGTCAGCCTCATTTCCCCAGAGGGCCTGGCTGAGTAGAAAGACACAGGGCCCTGGCACTTGTAAGTAGTTTAGGGGATCCTGTAGCTTGCTCAGCACCTTGTCTCCTGGCCTGGAGGAGGCGGTGTGCTAGTGTTTGAGCCACCACATTTCCCTCGGGATATTCTGGTTTCCAGCTTTCTGTCTGCGGCTCCATCACCTGAGAACTGGGCTCTGTGTTCCAGGTGAAGCTCATTCGACTGGTTGGGATCATGTTGCTGTTGTACGTCAGACAGGAACATGCAGCGTATATCTCAGAAGTGGAAGCTGAGACCGTGGGCACAGGAATCATGGGGAGAATGGTGAGTTGTAGCACGCAATTCATTGTTCTTAATAATAAAAGTCCAGAGTTAGCCACTGGGGCGAAAGCTGAAGGACCCGAGAAGCAGAGTGGCAGCCACTAGAGTTTTTACCTCTACCAATGCTCAGACCGAAGAGGCGATCCTGTCCTCAGACTGCACTGCCTCCTGTGTCCTCTCGTCTTATATTCTTCTCTCTGCTTAGCCATATCACTCCTGTCTCCACCTCTAGAGTGCTAGGGTTAAAGGCATGCAATCCCAAATGCCGAGTCACCTTTGTGTGAACTGTTTCTCTTTTAAACTGGATCAATTTAGGTAGCCCAGTGTGTCCTTGAACTAACAGAGATCCGCTTGCCTCTTATTTGCCTCTGTCTCCCTAGTCCTGGGATTAAAGGTGCGTGCCACCACTGCTTGACCTGTAGTGGCTTAGCTCTACACTCTGATCTTCAGGCAAGCTTTATTTGTTAAAATACAAACAAAATATCACCACAGTGAGTCCTTGGTATGTATATTTTTCATATTGAGGACCTTGACTCCTAATGTTTTGACTCAGCCTCTCAGGATGAGGAACAATACAAACCCACCTGAGATGCTGCTGTTGCAGAACGAGCTGTACACATAAACAGGACTGGGCTGAGCAGACAACTTAGAAATCCAGCTGATGCATTTCTCTATCCTGGTAGTTACTCAGTGCGGAGCCTCTGGTTGATCCGCCTATAGTGTAGTATGGTACAGAAACTGTTTTGGCCACCTAGGAAAACAGGGTCCTGTTCTTCTTGAGGCTCCTAGAGTCCTGCCCTAAGATCCCTCTGCAGAAGCTGAACTGGACATTTGGCTGGCTCACCAGTGATACAGAGAAAAGAATAGAAGGTTGAGGGAGACAGATTCAGGCCTGAGCTTTCTGTAATGTCTAGTCATTTTGCTTGGGGAATTTGTATTCTTATCTGTGAGATATAGATAGTAACCCCATAAAGCCATTATGAAAACAAAGACGAAATATGTGAAAGTCAGGAGGTTTAAATGACCGAGGAGGGGTCTTTCTTCTAGGGTAACAAAGGAGGAGTGGCAATCCGGTTCCAGCTGCACAACACGAGCATCTGCGTTGTAAATTCCCACTTGGCAGCCCACATAGAAGAGTACGAGAGGAGGAACCAAGACTACAAAGATATTTGTTCTCGAATGCAGTTCTCTCAAGTGGACCCAAGCCTCCCCCCTCTTACCATTAGCAAGCACGAGTGAGTTCAAGTTTTTTCCCTCTTCAATTGCCTTGTGACTGCTAGGCTCTGGGTTCTCCACCATGCTAGAGGTGAATGCTAGAGACGGGGTATCTGCCAACTCTTATTTATCTCTTGGAAATTCTTGGCTTTCTAACTTACCATCTGGAAGACCCTTAAAAGCATTGTCAAGCATTCCCTGTCCCTGGAGGGACATGGGGTTTACTTGTCTAGAAATCTGCCTTGATTGAGGCCTGGGAGCAAAGCAGTCAGAGAGCTTGCATCTTGCACACAGCTTGGAGTACTGCTTGAAGTTTCCACGTCTGTTCTTCCAGAGCAGGTGCAGTTGAGAGTCAGGCCTGTGCTTGTTTGCCTGCACTTGCTCATTCCTTCTTGATACTACTTGTTAGAACCATACTTGCAACTGCACAGAGCATATTGTGCCAGTTTTTGTTCATTCTCTGTATTTCATTAATCTCCAAAACTTGCTATTTTGTCTGATTTCAAAGCTTTGGAATTTCAGACTTTGCTGTCACAATTGAAATTTATGGATCTTATTTATAAAGAAGAGGAAGCCACTGGGGTCCTGTCCAAATCTGTGGAACTGTCTCTGGCTGATTGGAGGGCTGTTCTTCTCCAGGGTCCCTCGTAGGGAGCATGTCTCCTTCTTTGTGAGGCTGCAGCTGGCATGGCTTTTTGTCTGCTTTTAGCCTGAGGATGCATTTGTTGGGGGAGGGGGCACACTGCTAGGCAGATTATATAGTGACATGGTTGTTGGCTTCAGGTAGAGCAGTACTTGACGTCATGGCATGTCTGAGACCATCAGGGAGCAGCAGCAGGTGTAATGAACCATGTGACACAGCTCTTCCCAGGAGTGCAGAGTAAGCCAGTGATGTGGTGGGCAATCCTGGCCTTGCTATTAAATGTGAGCTTTGCTTCAGGCAATTCTCCCTTGGAAAATGCCAAGAGTGTGTTTGTGGGCTAGAATGTAACAGGGGTGCCTAAGTGACTGTCGGGATTTATACTTCTCAATCTGTTTTTAAACCACTTCTTGCTATTCAGTAAACAACTACCTTGCTTTTAGATTTTTTGTTTTGTTTTGTTTGTTTGTTTGAGTATTTTGTCCGCTATATAACCAAGCTAGTTTTTGACTGGCTCTACTCCTGTATCAGCCTCCTGAGTGCTAGGATTACAGGCATGTGTCATACACCAGCAAACAGGCATTGCTTTTAGAGCTTATGAGTCTGTCTTTTTAATTGTTCCTGAATAAAACAGTCAAGAACTTCAGGCCATTTATGATGAGCATGGGCCAAGACAATAGAATCAGCAGTGTCTTAACCATGTTAGACATGGGCGGGAAGGAAAATTCTGCCACAGCTAAGTTTTTATCCCGCCCTGGGTCTTGTTCTGGATAGTGAGGGGTAAGCCCCTCCTAAACCCTGTCACCTTTGTGCTCTGTCCTCACAGTGTGATCTTGTGGCTGGGGGATCTCAACTACAGAATAGAAGAGCTGGATGTGGAAAAGGTGAAAGCGCTCATCGAAGAGAAGGCCTTTCAAACCCTGTATGCATATGACCAGGTACAGATGTGCACTGTGTCTTCCTGGGGCAGCTGCTCCTCCACTGTGAGAGCACCGAGCCCAGTTTCTCCTTCCCTAGCCTGGAAGCTTCCCTAAGGGCCCAAGGTCCTCTGCTGCCTGCCTTCCATCTGCATTCCTTTCTCTTGGCTTTGTCCCGGAATCACTTTGTGTCTCTTAGAGTAAGAACACGCTTTCTCATACACTCAAGAGACCAGGAATTGGGGTCAAAAGGGCCTTATGTTATTGGTTTGGTTTCTTTCTTCAGTAGAGAAACTAGTTGGTATATGTCTGGTGGTTTACTAATTCTCTTTAGAATGAGTTCGCTGCCCCTGCCTCCTCCTTGTCACCAGTTTTCTCCAGTGGGAGCGAACTCGCTCAGCTCTTCTCTGCTTCCCACCCTCACTCGTTGTTGTAGCATGCCTATCGGAGAGCAGCAACCACTTCACAGGGTGAGGGAAGCCTGTGTCTGGCCTTCTTTGTTGCTCTCCTCAGTAGACTTGACACCTCTTAGGTGCTGTCCAGGATGCTGGAGCCCTCCTTCTTTTCCACCTGAGCTCTTCTCCCCTTGACAACCTTGGCATCATTAGGTCTGAATCCTTCAATTGTTCTCTTTCCCTGCACAGAATAGTTGAAGGAGAAGAGTCTTATCTTAGCTGTCTCTCGTCATGGAATCGTTTCTTTATTGACTTGTGGAATAGGAATAGTTTTCTCATGGGTCCTTTCCTTTCGAGGTAGGGTTTGGGATGTAGATTAATTTCATGGTTTTCACCAGTCCCAGTCTTGACCTTTCATTCTGAGGGCTTTTCTCCCCCGTTCTTTTGCATAGCTGAAAATTCAGGTGGCTGCTAAGACCGTCTTTGAAGGTTTCACAGAGGGCGAGCTCACCTTCCAGCCTACTTACAAGTATGATACTGGCTCTGACGACTGGGATACCAGGTGAGTCAGAGGTCACTTCTGGGGGCTAAGGAGATAGAGACCCAGGAATTCTGGAAAGCACTGGCCCTTGTGGACCTGAAGAGGAAAAGGTCCTTGTGACTACATGTTTTCCACTGTGGCCAAGCATTTCCTCTCGGTATCTGCTCTCTAAGCTCACTGTCTGTCCACATTATTTCTTCTGACTTCAGCATCATTCCACCATGAGTCTTGATACTGATTGGCTTTTCTTTCCTTTTTTCCCTGCCTCTTTTGTTTTTTTTTTGTTTTGTTTTTGTTTTTGTTTTTTACTTTTTTATTTTTGAGACAGGGTTTCTCTGAGTAGCCTGGGCTGTCTGTTGACCAGACTGGCCTCAAACTCACAGAGATTCACCTGCCTCTACCTCCCGAGTGCTGGGATCAAAGACGTGGACCACCACTGCCCAGCTTTTTTTTTCCTTTTAAAAAGGTGTATTTATTTTTATTTTACATGTATGAGTGTTTTTGTCTGTATATATGTATGTACGCTGCATGCTGACCTGGTGCCTGCAGAAGCCAGAAGAGGGGGCCAGATACCATGGAACTGGAGTTATAACTCCAGCTGGTTGTAAGCCACGATGGGGTCTTCTGCAAGAGCAGCAAGTGCTCTTAGCTGCTTAGTCATCCCTGCGCCCACCAATTGACTTTGAGCTTTGTTTAAGGTAATGTGATGATTCTAACCAAAGCGCTTGCTTGGTCTTAACATACTAGTTAATATTTCTTAATAGTGCTTATAGTATGCCAAATGCTCCTGGATAGATTGGATTTGTATATCTCATTTTAACCTGTTAAGAACCTGTTGAGGAGGCTGGAGAGATGGCTCAGTGGTTAAGAGCACTGGCAGCTCTTCTTGAGGACCCAATAATTCCTAGCACCCACATGGTAGCTCACATCTGACTGTAACTCCAGTTTCGGGGGACCTAACACCCATGGCAAAACACCAATGCTCACAAAAAATAAAAATACATGTTAAGAAAAGAACATATCAAGGTAGATATGGTTTATTATGAGACTGGGAGAGTTCAAGAGCCTCCCAAACATGTAAGTGGTAGAAACAGAATTTGAACTCAGGCAGAAGAAATTCACAGCCTGTTCCCTTAACCACTTTCTTCTTCTTTTTTTTTCTTTTTTATAAAAAAATTTATTAGATTTTTAAAAAATAACAATCCAAGTTCCCATTCTCCTTCTCCCATTCCCTCCACACACCCTTCCACCCCATTCCCAACCAATCCTCAGAAAGGGTAAGGCACATTGCTTTGTAGAAAGTCTAAGGCCCTCCCTACTATATTTAGGCTGAGCAAGGTATACATCCAAAGAGAATAGGTTTCCAAAAAGCCAGTACATACAGTAGGGATAAATTCTGGTGCCACTGCCAGTGGCCCCTCAGTCTGCCCAGCCATGCAACTGTCAGCCACATTCAGAGGGACTAGTTTGGTCCTATGCTTGTTCCTTCCCAGTCCCGCTAGAGTTGGTGAGCTCCCATTAGGTCAGGTGGACTGTTTTAGTGGATGTCCCCATCATGATCTTGACCTCCTTGCTCACACTCTCATTCCTCCCACTCTTTAACTGAACTTTGGGAGCTCAGTTCAGTGCTCCAATGTGGGTCTCTGCCTGTTTCCATCAGTTGCTGGATGAAGATTCTGTGGTGGTATTTAAGATATTCATCAGTCTGACTACAGGGCAAGTCAAGATCTGGCTAACCACTTTCTTTCAAGGACTATAAAGTGCCTATTCTCCTGCTGCCATTTCCGTTTTCTCTCCATTCCCTCACAATGACATAGGGCAGGGACTCACTCTGGACAGTTTGCTGTTGGAGTTTTCATAGTTGCTGTGGATGATACCCACAGGGACACCTTGTTCCTCCATGGGCTTGATGATCCGCCATCTTAGATTTCCTTGCTGCACGGACACAGGGCTTCTGCCTCATCACTCCCACCTGAGCCATGGCACACACTTAGCAGTGGATCTGCTGTTTTTGTGAGCCTACCAGGGTGGACTTTGTATTTCAGTGAGAAGTGTCGTGCTCCTGCCTGGTGTGACCGAATCCTCTGGAAAGGAAAGAACATCTCTCAGCTGAGTTACCAGAGCCACATGGCCTTGAAGACCAGTGACCACAAGCCCGTCAGCTCGGTGTTTGACATTGGGGTAGGTGGGCAGCTTGTTTTTGGTTTTTTATTTCAGGGCTGCTTTTTGTCTCTCTGACTCTCTGATCTTTTCCTCTTAGCCTTGAGGTGAGGAAGCTCTTTTTAAAATTTGTTTAAGGTCCTGGAGAGATGGCTCAGATATTAAAAGTACTTGCAGCTCTTCCAGATCTTCTTGGATCCAGAGGACCCAACTTTAATTCTTAGCACTCATATTGGGCTGCTTAGGACCACCTGAGCAGGTGGATCCAATTCCAGAGGATCCAATTGCCTCTGCAGGCATCATGTGAATACGGTACACAGACATACATGCTGGCAAAACACCGTCTTAGTCAGGTACTATTGCTGTGAGGAAACACCAGGACCAAAGCAACTTGGGGAGCAACAAAAATTCATTTGGCTAATGTTCTTCACTAAAGGAAGTCAGGACAGTAACTCAAACAGGGCAGAGCTGATGCAGAGGCCATGGAGGGTGCTGCTTGCTGGTTTGCTTCTTATAGCTTGCTCAGCCTACTTTCTTATAGAACCCAGGACTAGCAGCCTAGAGGTGTCCCCAGCCCTATTGGGCTGGGCCTTCCCTTATCAATCATTAGTTATGAAAACGTCCTACAGGCTTGCCTACAGCTCCATGTTTTTTTTTTTCTGATCTTCTGACAAGCTTTATTTATTATAGTATACACAAAATAACATGTTTCCCTTTTTTGTCTAAAATATAAAAGGTTGTAATTAATGTGAAAAAACTATATACAATAAGTACAATAACTATACACAATATATACAGGCAATAAGTACATCCATCCTGCCTACTTCATTAGCATTTGACAAATTCAGAGAAAATATACCATTATCTATCCTATCTTGGTGAGTTCAACGTGTTGTACCTAATTCATATTCTATTCTAACGTGTATTACTATACAAAACTATTTTTTGGTATCTCTCAAATTTAGATGCTTTACATCTCTTTATTGAGCTGCTTTTTGGCATCTCCTAAACAAGGGAAACCATGACTATCTTGTCTACAACTCCCTCAGAGAACCAAGAAGGAAATAATGTTAACTGAGTAAGCAGGTAGTAGAAGCAAGTGACTTCCATAAAATATGAGAAAATACAGAAACAGCTGGCTGCCTGGACAGTCATCCAAATGTACTCTGCAAATTGGAGCATCTATCTTCAGCCTACAGGACTATAATACCTGATAGACTTCTGTGAAGCAGGACATTCTGAAGGGCTATCCTGCCTAGTTTGGGCAGATTTTGGCAGTTTTTTCTTTTGTGTCCTGCTTGTCCAATTTGGACTCAGTTGCTGAGTCAAGGGCAGTGACTTCTTTTCTTGCCCAGTGGTTTACTTTTGCCACAAAGAAACTAAACTCCGTGTGGAGTTTCTTCGATGCCTATCATCTTCTCCAACATAGATTGGTGCTGCCAAGAGCAGACATGTCTCAACGTCATTAAAAAAAAAAACCACAAAACCTGTGTTATTAAAACATCCTAAATGCCACCTTCTGTGGATCTATGAAGTGTTTAAAGATTATCTGTCAATCTAAAATATCTGTTTGACCTTGAAAGCATACTTACTATGACTGACTACAAGTTTGATTGTAATAGGTAAATAACTACTAACCTACATTTCTTCATTATCCTAAATAGTTTAATGCTAATTTTCAAGGACTATAAATTTGCATTACATTGTTAAATGAGTTGTATGGGTACAATACCTTGAATAAGATTAAAAATGTATGTACAATATGTCCTAACAAAAGTAAACTAAAATTTGTATCAATATATAAAAGTTCTAAGCCAATGTAAAATATTTAAAACTAGTAGTTGCTTTTTTAGGATTAAAAGCAGATTCAATAATTACCTTTTTATCCTATTTCTATATCACCCTTATTTCTCTTCAGAGTAGTTTCAATAATCTACTCTTTTATACTATCATGTCTGTATCCCCATTTATTCTTTTGAAAACAAGAACTCTGAATTTAATCACTATTTAGCTTTTTTCCTGACCATTAGCAATACCAACTTGTAACCAATCCTACAGCTCCATGTTATGGAGGAATTTTTTTAATGGAGGTTCCCTCCTCTCAGATGACATTAGCTTGTGTCAAGTTGACATAAAACTAGCCAGTACACACTCATATACATAAAATAAAAATAAATACATTTTTAAGAAGAACAATAAAATTTATGTGTAAAGTTAATTACTACTGCATTTGTATACATCTAAATACCTCCACATACATGGGTATTCCCTTTTGCTTCTTGGACTTTGTTTATGCATTTGCGATTGAGTGTGTCAGTATTCTGCATACAGCACACAGATATTCCCCCCTCCTTTTTTTTCCTTAAAAAAAAAAGAGCTCATATTATACACATTCTGTGATCATCTTTTGACTTCATTGAAAATGTTTTGGGGCGGGAGAATATAGCTCAGTTGGTGCAAAGCTTGCCTGGTGTGCATGAGCTACTGTATTCGGTTTCCGGAACTACACAAACCGGATATGGCGACACATTTTTGTAACCCAGCACACAGAAGGCGGAGATCGGAAGATCTGGGGTTCGGGGTCATCCTTGGCTACACCTGGTGCTGTAGACTATCCTTCATGTGAATTTTTTATTGTTCTTTTTTGTTTGTTTGTTTTTTGAGATGGTGTCTCTGGATAGCCCTGACTCCTGGTACTCACTCTGTAGACCAGACTGGCTTAAACTCATAGAGTTCTGTCTCTGCCTCCTAAATGCTGGGATTAAAGGCGTGTACCACCACCACCTGGCCCATGTGCATTTTTTTTTATGTCTGTATTTGAGTATTTCTGTAAACTGAAATTCATTCTCTCTCTCTCTCTCTCTCTCTCTCTTTCTCTCTTTCTCTCTCTTTCTAGTTTTCTCTTTGTTTATTTGTTTGATTGTTGATACAGGGTTTCTCCATGAAACCCTAACCCTGGCTGTCATGGAACTCCCTCTGTAGACCATGCTGGCCTCAAACTCACAGATCCACCTACCTCTGCCTCCCCAGTGCGGAATTAGAGGTGTGCTCTACTACTGCCTGTCTTAGACTGAAATTCTCAGTGGTGACATCAGTAGTTCGAGGAGAATTATATTTTAGCAGGGTGGTGGTACAGGCAATAGTTTGAGCTATTCGAAGAGCTGTAACAGGATTGCTGGAGCCCAGGGTTTTGAGACCAGTTTGGCAAACATAGCAAGACTGTGTGTGTGTGTGTGTGTGTGTGTGTGTGTGTGTGTGTGTGTGTACACATGTTTTTTTTTAATTTATTAGTTTATAAGAGGGGATGCAGTAATGTATGTGAAGGGACACAGTAAAGAAACTCCCTATGGGACTGATCCATTATTTTAATGTGAATAAGGAAGAGAAAATATCTAAAGGCATCTGGAGGAGTCCAGAGCAGAGGGACAGAAGACAGCAATGTCTGACCTAGGAAGTGGGAGAGAATAGTGTAGCTAGATTGGAAGGGAGAGACTAGAGCACAGCAGTCAAGAGCTAGCGCGAGCTCGAGACAGTGTGGGAGAGAGAATAGTAGAGAAGATGGGTTATACAGGAAGGATGAGTAGCTGCGGGAGGGAAAGGCCAACAGACTCCTGTGGACTTCGAAAACCTCACCTGTACTTGTGACACTGAGGGAGCCTGGAGGTCAGTGTGGGTTTTGATGTGCTGAGAGGTACCACAGATAGTCTTTGCCTGCCCCTTCTGCCAGAGGCAAGGGAAATGACTAGTTTTGGTAGCTGGGAACTGGTTTCACAAGTTCCTGAGGAATGCTTTTATCTAACAACTGGAATTCCTCTATAGTCCAGCTTGAACTCATTTCTAGATACGTGGACTGCCTAAGACCTACTAGTTAGTGTCTGCTCATTTATTACAGTCTACTCCCAACAGCTTTTACCATTTCAAAAGACTTATTTATTTATTTATTTGACAGGGCCTCACTATGTAGACCAGGTTTGCCTCAAACTTAGAGATCTGGATTAAAAGTATACATCACCATGTCAGGGAAGATGTATTTTTATTTTATGTGTGTATGTGTCTTTTGTCTGCATACATGTATATGCACTGCCTACATGCTTGGTGCTCCTAGAGACTAGGAGAAGGCACATGTTTTGTCTGCATACAAGTATATGCACGTCCTACATACTTGATGCTTCCAGAGGCCAGAAGAAGGCATGAACCCCCTGGAACTAGAGCTACAGGTGATTGTGAACCACTATACTAGTGTGGAAAATTGGGTCCTCTCTAAGAGCAGTCTGTGCTCTGAACCGTTAAACAATTTTTCCAGATCCAGTTTGTATTGTTTTATACTTCCACCAGCTACAGATGAGCTTATTTTCCCGTAACTTTGGCAATATTTTTTTAAATATTTATTTATTTATTTATTATGTATACAATATTCTGTCTGTGTGTATGCCTGCAGGCCAGAAGAGGGCACCAGACCCCCACTACAGATGGTTGTGAGCCACCATGTGGTTGCTGGGAATTGAACTCAGGACCTTTGGAAGAGCAGGCAATGCTCTTAACCTCTGAGCCATCTCTCCAGCCCCCATGGCAATATTTTTTTAAATTTATTTTATTTTATGTACATTGGTGTTCTACCTGCATGTATGTCTATCTGTGTGAGGTTGTCAGATCCCCAGGAACTGGAGTTACAGACAGTTGTGAGCTGCCATGTGAGTGCTGAGAATTGAACCTGGGTGTTCTGCAAGAGTAACCAGTACTCTTAACCGCTGAGCCATCTCTCCAGCCCTGTCAATAATATTTAAAAATCTTTTTAGTCAATACAATGAGAAAAGGGAGAGACCATTGTCTTAGGTTGCAGCTCCCTGATCCTACTGAAGTTAGACTTTCCAGTACTTGTTATTTATTTGCATTTCATCACCAGTGGTTTCTGTGTTGCTTGGTACTGCCTGTTCTTGCAGGTGTAGTAGAGTAGCTGCAGCTCAGAATCTGAAACTGGAGAGGAGCCTAAGTCTGGGTGTGATGACCCTGGCCTTTAAGCTGTGAGTTGGAAGCCACTCTATTCAGAGATACTCTCTGAGAAGGGGGACACTAAGTAATGTTGCAATTAATATTTTATTGTCAAAAAGTGAAAAAAGTGTTTATAATTAAAATACAGAAGGGAGAACCTGACATACTCTTCCTTGCCAGTGAGTTTGGGTTAAAAAAGCAGAGAAATACATCTTTCTATCAAAACCATAGAAAAAATAACCCATTGCTAGCCTTTGGGTGGCAGCAAGGAGGACAGAGATAGAAAGCGTCTTTTGGCCAAGGCCTGATACCCAAGGAGGATCAGCTGGGGCATTCCAGTGTCCTCCTTCTGATCAAGAAGCAGGCAGCCTTTTAGTAGCGTGGGGATTCTTCTGTGAGTCTGTCATTAATTAGGTTATTTGTTAATGTACTAACTCAGTATACCTAGCTGTCAGTTCCTGAAATGTGGTCAGCTGCTGTTTCCTGATGCCCCAAGCATTCTCAACACCAAGAAAGAAGAATGGGCAGAAGGTGCCACACTCAGTCTCTAATGTTTTCCTTCCAGGTGAGGGTTGTGAATGAAGAACTCTACCGGAAGACACTGGAGGAAATTGTCCGCTCCCTGGATAAGATGGAAAATGCCAACATTCCTTCTGTATCACTCTCCAAGCGGGAGGTAGGAAAGACCCAGACCTTAGCATCAGGGTTTGGGGAGTTGGCTCAGTTGGTAGGACCTGAATTCAAGCCCCAAAACCCATGTTGGGGTGGTGGTGGGCGCTGGACATTGTGTGTTGGGTGTGGTGGCATGGCTTTTATTCCTAGAATTCGAGAGGCAGAGGAAGGTGGATCCCTGAATTCAGGCTAACCTGTTCTATAGCAAGTTCCAGGAATTCCAGGTCAACCAGGGCTACCTAGTGAGACTGTCTGAAAAAACAAGTGGAGTTCAAGGGAAGATAAGATACTTTATGCTGCAACTGTCCAGCTCCTTGGCAGAGTGAGACTGACCTTCAGGCTCGGGTCAACTAGAGCATGGGATTTTGAAAATGGTTTTGGATGTAGAAGATGGAAGCTTTGTTTGCTTCAGGAAGCCTACGTATAGAAACAACTTGGGCTTTGGCTTGCATAGGCCGCTAGTCTTCAGCGGCAACTGTGCCATCTCAGCTAAATACATTTCAGAAAGATGGTCCTTCATTTTCTTCCCAAGACAAATAGTTTTCCCAGTCAGGGTGGGTGCACAACTGGAGAAGAGAACACTGGTTCTGACTGGTCCCTTGTCTGTTCCCAGTTCTGTTTTGAGAACGTGAAGTACATGCAGTTGCAAACACAGTCCTTCACGATTCACAATGGCCAAATACCCTGTCAGTTTGAGTTCATCAACAAGCCTGATGAAGAGTCTTACTGTAAGCAGTGGCTGACCGCCAAACCCAGCAGAGGCTTCCTCCTGCCAGGTAACAGGTTTCTTCCTCGCCTCTGGTTTCTGCATGGCCTGCCTGTCCTTTTCATTTTTCTACATAAGCTTTTTGCTTCTGAATAGCCAGAAACTTTTCTTGTTTTGCTTTGTCTTGTTTTGTTTTTTGAGATAGAGTCTCTCCATTATGTAGCCCTGGCTATCCTGGAACTCATTCTGTAGACCAGGGTGGAGATCTGCCTGCCTGTGCTGGCTCTACAGCATTTCTCCCCAATCCCTATAGTTGAACTCAGCCATATAAAAATGGAAAGCGCTGAGGGCCATGCATTCAGTTTCAAGAACATTTTAGTCCTTGTATGCACCGTAATCTCACAGATTATGGGAAATGCTGCTGCTTTAGGGGCCAACTCCACTGCCTCAAGGTGTCTGAATGAAGAACATAAAGAAATAAAAAGGAAAGGAGAGGACATGGCTACTCCGGTATGGTGGAGGAGGAAGTTTATTATAAATAAAAGGGAGAGCATAGGTGATGTAATGGTCTGTTCTGTCCCTTTAAGAGACAAGCCCCCACCACCACCACCATGGCCTGATCTTCCTTCTGCTTCCAGTTTGAGCCCTCCCTTTCTCTCTCTCTCTCTCTCTCTTTCTCTCTCTCTCTCTCCCCTCCCTTCCTCCCTGCCTTCCCCCCCCCAGAGGCAGCTTCTGTCTCTCCCTTCTCCCCTTCCCCCTCCCTCCCTCCCTCCCTCCCTCCCTCCTTCCCTCCCTCCCTCCCTCTTTTTCTCCCTCTCTGTCTCTGCTCTTCCCCCCTTCTCCCTTTCCCTTCCATAACCCACTAAATAAATATCCAACTTGACTCTGCATGGTGTGCCTATCCGTCTCAGTCTCTCTCAGTCTCTCACCTGCCACACAGCTTCCTGCCTGAGACCCAGCTGCCTTCATGTCCTGTCATGGTCTTGGGACCCGCTGCCTACTGTAGCCACTCGGGGACCTGCAGCATTTTATTCAAACCATAACAGGTAGAGGTAGAGATAATCTGGGAGAGTCCAGAGTGGGCATGACCAGACTGAGCTCTGCCATGTGGGGAGAGAGGGAAGGGAAAGGGGAGAGAGGGGAATCAGGTACAGCAGCCACGAGACCAAAGTTGCAAAAGCAGGTGGGTAATGTCTGAATTATATAGGGAAGAGCCTCTGGGGAAGGACAGCCCCAGTCCCTGGGCTAGAGAGTTCAGGGTAGAAGGTGGTATATACATGCCATACTCTATAACAAGTAGGAACTGAGGGATGCTGGGAGAATCTGGTGGTCAAGTCTACTTTGATTTGTTAAATAGGCACTTTAGCTATTTGTCCTAGGGTTTGAGACTTAACAGTATCCACTTTGGTGGAGAGAGACAATGGGTAGTAATCCAGAAATGGTAATAATGCCCCCAGAATGTAACATTCCTATTCTGCAACTGGAAAATTAAGGGTGTTTCCTGGCTACTTCCCAGGTACTAACTTCCCTTGATTTGTGAAGGGGGCGTGTGTTTCCATCTTACCTGGTCCAGAGCTGGTCCTTTGATCCAGGCCTTCTTACTGGATCATTCTTCTGGTTTAAGCTGTGCAACTCAGTACTTGAGTTTCTGAGCATTTGCTTCCAGTTTGCATGTGCTGTCTTCACGTTTCCAGGCTGGGCTGTGCACATTGTGTGCTTCCCCAGGGCAAGCACACGGGTCCTTGCCAATTGATGCCTTCTCTTTCCTTTCTTAAACCTTTCTGCCTTACTCCCTTCCTTCCTGCCTCTTCCTCCTCCTCCTGACTGCTCCCTAGCTTATGTGACTTTTAAATTTTTCTGCAGATTCTCACGTTGAGATTGAATTGGAGCTCTTTGTAAATAAGGCTACCGCCACAAAACTCAACTCAGGCAAAGACAAAATCGAAGACATTCTGGTTTTGCACTTGATCCGGGGAAAGGATTACTTTTTGTCTGTGTCTGGGAACTACCTGCCCAGCTGTTTCGGGTCTCCCATTCATACGTTGTGCTACATGAGGGAGCCAATCTTAGACCTACCACTGGAAACCGTTAGCAGGCTGGTGAGTAACAGACTCTGAGGAAACATCCAGGAGTGGGCAGCTTGGGCCCAACACTGTATTTCTCTATCTACCTTCCTGGGTGTAAGCTTTTTGTAGCCTCCTAGAGCTTGTTTAGGATCAGTGTCATAAACCACCCCGTCCTCACCAGTCAGCTTTTCTCTGCTGGTCCAGCCGAGGCCCATTTGTGCTAATGTAATCAAGCAGCAGCTGTGCTGGCCACTGTGTTGAAGGTAGCCTCTCTTGCCTGCCTCAGTGTTGGTTGCCCTCTGGCTTCTGCACATGGACTCTCAGCATTCAAGAAGTGAGCTCAAGCTTCTGCAGGTAGAGGCAAGAACAAGAGAAAAGCTAAGGCCTTACATGGCATGGCCGATGAAGCCCACAGAATATCACTTCTGCTTTGCTGTGTGGTTTGGAGCAAATTGTGAAGGCAGCCAGGATTCCAGCATGGAGTGACTTTACTTCCTCCTGTGGACAGCTGTGGAAGATAGCCACACTTTCTTGTCTTTATTTCATACCCGTGCACGTGTTAGAACAGCAAGCAACAGTAACAAAGCTCCGTGGGCTGGCACTTCACAGTTGGAGAGGCTGACGTATACGACAAAGATCCCTGATGACTTGTTTGATGAGGGCCCACTTTCCTCAGTGTCCTCATTTGTCAGGAGTGGGAGACTCTTGGTTTTCTTACTGAACCCCAGTCCCATTTGTGACTACATAGCCCTTATGACCAACCACCTCCCAAGGCCCTGTTTCCAGATACCATCTCATTGGTGACTAAGATTCATTATGGTGATCTAGGTGGGATGGAGGAGACACATAGCATAGCCATTCAGTGTCCAGGAAGCAGTGCAGTAGGGAAACGTAGCCACGATCCTAACTTCCTAGTGAAAGTTTTCTATTTTAAAAAAACTGTCATCTGGGGGACTGAGAGATAGCTCATTTGATAAAGTGTTTGCCATGCAAGCATTAGGACCTGAGTTCAGTTCCCCAGAACCCACACAAAAGGTACATGTCTGCCCGGTGGTAGTGGCACACGCCTTTAATCCCAGCTCTTGGGTGACAGAGGCAGGCAGATCTCTGAGTTCGAGGCCAGTCTGGTCTACAGAGCGAGTTCCAAGATAGCCAAGGTTATACAGAGAAACCCTGTCTTGGGAAAAAAAAGAAAAAAAGAAAAAAAAAGGTACATGTCTGTGATCCCAGCTCTGGGAGATGGGTGCCATGGGAACCCATTGTCTAGGCATTCTCGACAAATTGGAAAGCTCCAGGCTCAGTGAGAAACCATCTCAAAGTAGAAATCAACTAAAGAAGACACTCGGTATTGACCTCTGGTTACCACGTGCATATGTACGTATACACATACACACACACACAAACCGAATAGACAAATACATGATGATGACCTGGCAGGTTATCTTAAAACAAGTTTGTATCCTAGCACAAGGGGACAAGTTTGGGTAATTTGTACACTTTTTTTTTCTTAGAACTCATATTTTCAATTAGGAACTCTTGAACTATCCATTTTTTTTCTTTTTTTTTCATTTTGATTTTTTGAAACAGGGTTTCTCTGTGTCATAGCCCTGACTGTCCTAGAATTCGCTCTTGTAGACCAGGCTGGCCTTGAACTCACAGAGATCTACCTGCCTCTTGCCTCCAAGTACTGGAATTAAAAGTGTGCACCACCGTAGCCTGGGTTAACTATTCTCTCTGTTATCTAATGTAGATGAAAACAAAGCCAGTCAAGGAGAGCCATTTGTCACAGGTCACGGGGTGAGTGGCAATGGACCTGGAGTTTGGGTTCACAAGTGTGTGCTCTTTTCACGCACGCTCTCTGGTTCTAGCCATGGGAGGCTGGAAGAGCTTTTTTCTGTGGAGTTAGGCATATACTACCCCATTCGCTGAAACTGCTTGTCACCACTTTCCCCATCCTTTTTTATTTTTAATTTTTGGCCTCTGGAATGTTTGGTTTAGTGGCATTGAAAAGCTTCCCTTTGCTGTTTGCCGTCCCTGTATCGTGCATTTTCCTGAAGCTCTACCTTGCAATGACTTGTTTTTCTTTCTTTGGAGACTTTGATGCCAGTGCAGACTGCGGATGACAGGAGCCAGCTGGAGAACCCCCTGGAAATCCCCAAAGAACTCTGGATGATGGTCGACTACCTGTATAGAAATGCTATCCAGCAGGTAGGCTGGGACTAAGGCAGTCAGACGAGACTGCAGCCAGGCTGTCTTTGAGAGACCAAGAACTTTTGTATGGAAGCTTTTGTCCCGAGGAATCTGTGGAGAATTGTGCCCCCAGGGAGCAGTGAGTGACTATTTCATACTTGACCCTGATTCCCCATTGGGAAGCAAAGCAGACTTCCCAGCTAAGTGTTTCTTCCCCAGGCCTCTTAGTCACTCCAGAGAAGGACTTCTGAATGGCTCCTGGGAGGTCATTTTGATGTCTTCTGCAGGAATTCTCACCTGCTTCTGAGAATGGGAGGGGCTATCGTGTTGACTTCAGGCAGAGGACGGATGGAAGCTCCCCCCCCCCCCCCCCCAGGCCATGAGTCTGGACTGCTGAGTTCTGGAGAGATATAGGCAGGCTTCCTGAGATTAGTGGTCAGTTTGACTGACTTGACCATAGATTTATGAGGCCCAGGCTCCGAAGCCAGGGATGGAAGAGGGTCACAGGAGGCTGGTGGGTTAAGGAGAATTTGGGGAATCACAGACTATTAAGATATATTTTATTCAGTAGCACACAGGCCACTAGTCAGGCTGACACCGACAGGCACCCAGGCACAGGACATCACACAGGCTGTATAGAGGTAGACACAGAGGCAGGCTGGGAAAGAGATTCTTGCCTCTGATCTCAAAGCTATGTTTATAGAAATTTTAATATTGCAGCAAAATATATTCATATTCTTTTTTCCTCTCTCCTTCCCTCTTCCCTTACTCTTGTCTTCCTCCCTCTCTTCTCCCCCTTTCTCTCTCCCCTCATTCTCTCCCACCCCACTCCTGCCCCACACCTCCAGTGCTGGGGACTACACTTAGGCCTCCTGCATGTTGGGCAGCACAACTGAGTTGCCTTCCCAGCTGTTTATTTTTTTTAATTTTATTTTTTATTTTTTGGTTTTTCGAGACAGAGTTTCCCTGTAGTTTTGGAGCTTGCCCTGGAACTAACTCTTGTAGACCAGGCTGGCCTCGAACTCACAGAGATCCACCTGCCTCTGCCTCCTGAGTGCTGGGATTAAAGGTGTGCACCACCACCACCCGGCTCCAACTGTTTATTTTTTGAGTTAGTATTTCACTATGTAGCCCAGGCTAATGGCAAACTCCCTAGTCCTAGGCTAGTTTTGAACTCACGATCCTCTTACTTGAGCCTCCTATATGCTGGGACTGGGACTCCACCATGCCTGGCTTTTCCTCATTTTTCCCCACTCACACTAGTGTTGCAGTATACCAAATTGTGTTCATTTAATGCTCATAACAACTTTTGAAGGAAACATGCCCTGAAAGGTGAATAACTTACTCCCAAGCTGATGGATATACAATAGTCACTTTTGTTTTTAAAAATTTTTAAATTGAATTTTTAAATATACATGTCTTATGTATATGAATTATACTTATTATCTTGTTGTTCTTATAAATTTGGTCATGCTATTGTTGGAACCCTGAGCCTTAGCTTTCTACCACTGAGCTACACTCCTAGGCCCCAGAATTCACTTTTATGAGTGGTCCATCTTCTCTGTAGATCTTTCAAATGTACCTTGTGAGTAACATATGTAATATTTATTAGTAGTTATATTATGTTGATTTGCTTTATGAAACAAATGAATCCAAAATATCTTGAGATTAATAGAATAATGTTTACTTACATATTTTTATTTGCATAAGGTCTGAGGAGTCTTTCTGCCCCTCACCACTATTTCCTTTTTGTTGTTGTTTGTTTTGGGTAAGGATCACAGTAGCTTTTCAGTCTTACACATGGCACGTCCCTCATAGCACTGTGGCGTATGTACTCTGTGTGACTTTTCTCATACCCTAGATCTTGTTTTGTGTAGTGTGGCCTACCCATAGCTTTATAATGCACGCCTAATGACGTATGGTAAAGCCATGCAAGGCCTAAAGATGAGTTAGTCACATCAGCCTAAGTCTCATTGTCCACTGAGGTGATTCAGAGGTCTCAGTACACAGCTGACGTTTGGACTCTGGTGATATGGGTAAGTCAGAGAATCACTGCCAGTTTTCTGAGAAAATAATTGTTTTGTGGGTTTCTTCCCTCTTGCAGGAAGATCTGTTTCAGCAGCCAGGCCTGAGGTCAGAATTTGAACATATAAGAGACTGCTTGGATACTGGAATGATTGATAACCTCTGTATCCTTCAGAAATTTGTGTGTGCGTGTGAGAATATGAGAGCTTCTAAAAGAGAGAGAAGCATATCTCAAAGCCTGGCATCTGATAGTATGACCTTGGCTAACAGGCTCCACTTACTCAGAACCTTCTCAGAGAGGACATTACGACTTCACGCAGTCAGTGTGGCACCTGACAAACAGCATGGTGCCTTTGAGTCGTGGGCTGGCATCCTAGCACTGAGTAGAGCCTAACTGAGCAGGCAGCCCTTCTAGCACATTCTTGTCCCTGGGCCTTCTATCCCCGGGCATCACCGTCACCTGTTCCTTAACAGTGGGCCAAAGGTGCCAACAACCATTCCGTAGCTGAAGCCTTGCTGCTTTTCCTAGAGAGCCTGCCAGAGCCCGTCATCTGTTACAGCGCCTACCATAAATGCCTGGAGTTTTCTGGCAACTGCGTAGTCAGCAAACAGGTGAGGGGAGCGCCGAGCATTAACATGTGTAGTAGCTAGCCCTGGGCATGTGAAGCCTGGCACAGCAAAACAGAACAGGCCCTCGAGCGCAGTGGCTTGGAAGATGAACTTCTTTCCTTCTCATGCCCGCTCTTCCTCTCTTGTCCCCTTTGCTTTTAATAGCAACGCCCTTAGTTCCAGTGACTCAACTCTGAAACCTGAGTCATTTCTGATTCCTCCCTCTCCTCACCGCCCACGCACCCAGTCCCATTGATCTATCACTCTTCCACTCTCTCCCATCGGCACTGTTTACGTGGTGCAGTGCTCTGTGTTAATGCGCTCCCTCTCTTCTTCGTTTTGCGTGCTCCAATCAGATAGTGAACTTAAAGGTGCCATACTATTAGACAAAACCATACTTACCTCTTTTTTAAAAAAATTGTTTATTTTTATGTACATTAGTGTTTTGACATGGGTGTCAAGTCCCCTGGAACTGGAGTTACTGGCAGTTGTGAGCTGCCATGTGAATGCTGGGAATTGGACTCATGTCCTCTGGAAGAGCAGTCAGTGCTCTTAACCACTGAGCCATATTTCCAGTCCCATACTTACCTCTTTGTTTACTGTTTTTAATGATTCTTCTCACTCATTTGTCTTTCTCTTTCCTTTCTTTTCCTTCCTTCCTCCCTTCCTTCCTTCCTTTCTTTTTTTGTTTTTTTATTTTTGTTTGTTTGGTTTTTTTGAAGCAGGATCTCTCTGTGTGACTCTGACCTAGAATTCAGTGTGGCCCAGACTGACCTCAATTCATTATCCTTCCACCTCAGCTTTCCAAGTGCTGGGATCACAAGTGTGCATCACCACACCCAACTTGGCGATTGATATAATAATGAACAGTTGCCAACAGTACGTGATCCAGAACCTTTGCTCATTTCCATTGAATCTGGGTGTCTTCTGGAACCTGCCTTTTCCCAGCTCCCTAGCTGATTCTTCTGTACAGATACATGGGCTATTCACTGGATTCCAGCCTGGATTACCCTTCCAGACTTAGTGCCTGTGCAGCCAGTGTCTTTCTGCCAACATTGATATCTCCTGTTCTCCCTGCTTATCAGTTTGCTTTCTCTTGCCTTCTATGCCCCCCAATACCTAATCCTCACTGTTACAAGTCTAATTTTATCTTATATTCAACACCGAACTAAAATGTCTTAATTCCCTCAAGTTGTCTGAGAACATGGAAGTTCTCAGAATTAGAAGTCTGACCTCAAAATCATGCAGCATTTGACCTTTGTATGTGTCTGATACTTATGCCAAGTGGTGTGTGATTAGCTCTGTGTGCATTCTTACATTTGTAAGTTATAATCTCAGTTCCTGGAATATAGCGGGCAACTTGTCAAGTAATTGAGCGAAGCTGCAAACCCCACCTCTCTCTTTCAGGTCATTTCTACTCTCCCCACATTCCACAAAAATGTCTTCAACTACTTGATGGCGTTTTTGCAAGAACTGCTGAAAAATTCAGCAAAAAATCATTTGGACGAAAATATTCTAGGTAAGTAGCCAAGTATCTAGGGCAAGCATCTCTACAGTCACTGAGGAAGGAAGCAGAATTAAAATGTGTTTTCTTTTCTACATTCACCTCCCATTTTCCTAGCCTTTACTTCCTTTTTTCTCCCAAACCTCAGAGGAAAGTATTTGCTTTTTTTTTTTTTAACTTTTGTTTGTTTTGTTTTGAGACAGGGTTTCTCTGTGTCCACCCTGGCAATCTTGGAACTCACTTTGCAGACCAGGCCTTGACCTCACAAGAGGTCTGACTGCCTCAGCTTCCTGAGGCTTTTTTTTCTTACTTTTTAAAAGATAGGGTCAAGTTCTGTCTGTTGCCAAAGCCGGCCTCAAACTCACTATGTACCTCATGCTGGCCTTGGACCCTCTTGCCTTGATTCCCTGAATACTGCAAATGTGCCACTATGCCCTGTTCTGAATGAAGTTTATATACAAATTGTTTGAGGCTGGAAGTATGACTTAGTGGTAGAACACTTGGCTCACATGTGCAAAGCCCTGGAGCTGCCTGTTTCGGCTGGACTAGCTGGCTGGCACGTCCACAGGATCTACCTCTACACCTGCACACCACTGGGGTTTCAGGTGTATACCAGTGTGCCTGGCTTAGGGGTGGGTGCTGGGGTCTTCACTCAGGTCCTCTCATGTTTGCCTGGCAGGCACTGTATTCCCTGAGCCATCTCCACAGCCCACTGTACAGCTCAGACTGGGCTGGAGCTGACGAGTGGTAGGAATGAACGCAGACATGTACCACCACACCCAACTGTGGTTTTTCAAGGAGAAAATACCTGGGTGGGCATAGTGCATATCTTTAATCCCAGGACTCAGGAGGTAGAGGCAAGTGGATCTTTTGAGTTTGAGGTAGCCAGGGTCTACCTTTAAAATTTTTGCTTTTTTTAAAAAAGGAAGGGTAATCCTTCCTCTCTCCTAATCACCCTAGTAGTCTAGTTGCTAAATAGTGTTTTCTGTTTCTGTCATGCACAGCTAGTATATTTGGCAGCTTACTGCTCCGAAACCCAGCTCGTCCCCAAAAACTTGACATGACGGAGAAGAAGAAGGCCCAAGAGTTTATTCACCAATTCCTCGGCAGTCCAGTCTGAGCCTCAGTACTTCTCTCCGGTCTTACCCAAGCAGCCACAATGGTCAACCCTGCCTGTTTCAGCTCAAGAGCTGCCCTAAAGTGCTCTGAGGCCAGCTGGAAGCAAGAACGGCAGCTACCTGTTTCTTGAGCCTAGACCTGCTCCTTACCCATGCCGTTGGCTAGTACACCATCCTGACTTGTGAAGACATGGTGGAAATCCACAATTATAGAACTGACGTTCAATGTTCACTTTTAGTTATTTAACACAAATAGAGCTCTATTTGTTTATATTTTTTAAAAAAGTTAAGTAACTGTACTTTGCCTTACTCAAACTGCCTCTGGGACATACAGTCAGTGAATTCCCTGTATCCCTGACTGAGCATCTCATAATTAGGTATTTGGACTAGCTGAAGTCCTTGAAGAACAAGTTGTACAGCAGGAATTTGGTTATATGTTCCTGGATAAACAAGTTTTAGCCATTCCAGATGCTCCCACTGTCCAATCTGAGGACCTGTATATACACAGGGAAACACTGCCCCCTTTCTACTCAGCTCCAAGGCCTCGAAGTGGCCCCTAAAAACACAAAAGAAAGGGGGCTCTGGTGAAGCAAGTGGGATTTTGTAGGTCAGACAGTCCTCCCAGCTGTATATAATGTATCCCCTCTCATATGTGTAATATATTTTAATGATAAATGTATTTTTAACAGTTGTGATTGTCTTCTTTTTTCCTTTTTAAAGTTACGAGGGGGGGGCGGTGGTGGTGGTGGTGGTATATGCATGTGTGAATACTGGTGCCAAGAGAGGCCAGAGATTCTTGTGAAGCTGGAATTGCAGGTGGTTGTGAGCCACCCAATGTGGGTTCTGTGAATTGAACTCAGGTCAAGAGTAGTAGATGACCACTGAGTCTTCTCCCCTCATTCCCCTCTCTCAAAATATGGTAGTTCTTGGCAGATGGGCCTTTGTGGCTTAAGCACAGAAGCAGCTGGTCAGGGGCCAAAGAGACGTGTGGCAGTCTAGTGTGTGAGAATCACTATTCAGTATTACCCAAGTAGAGGGAATGGCACAACAGTTTGGGGCTGAATCCTGATCTAGCCTATAAGGGCATTGCGCCAACCTGAACGTTCCAGAGAAGTCGCTCTTGGGGAAAATAAACAGTGGCTTATGCGAGAGTCTAGTTATTATATTTACTGGACTGTAGTAGAAGTACGCGCAAAATCGCTTCTTTGGCTTTGGAATACTGCTACCAGGTAGTGGTTTCAAGGGTCTCTGTATGCTGAGTGTTAACAGCTGAAGAGGGGATCGGCCAGTAGGTGGCGCTGACCCTCCTGAGCTCGAAAACCCTCCCTGGAACAAGAAAGTTGGGACTGCCATCTCTGGCAGGCGTCGGAACGGGAAGTGACTGGAACAGTCCGCTCTGCTTTCGGGTCCTAGGACCTCAGCCAGGCGAACTACGCTGCGTGACAAGGGCGCAGTGGAGGGAGAAGAGGGATGCCGCGGGCTGGCCTATGCTCCTGGAAAGCGGCGGCTCACTGCGCCCTTCCCGCTGCAGCTATGGGCGCAGCCCGGGCTGAGGACACCTCGGGCTCGTGGCTGGGGTCGCGTGGTCTCCAGAACCCGGCACCGGCCGCTCCCCAGCTGCCCAGGAGCTCCTGACGCCGCTCACCCCGCCCACAGCCCGCCGGCTGGAGGCGCGGTCCCAACCCTGGACGGCAGAGGCCAATCAGAAGCAGCAGTGAGCGAAGGAACCCGCCGGCCTCTCCTTCCTCCGGAAAGAGGAAGCGGAAGTGACGCTAGGGACAGGTGGGGGCAATCATGGTGCCGCTGGGGAGGGGAGAAGCTGTCGCTGCCGCCGTTGCCGGGAGCCGCGGAGGTAAAAGCAGAAGCTGGACTGGCTGGGGCTGGGACTCCCTGGGGGGCGCGGGACATGGGCTCCCTGCCGAAGCCGTCCCGGGTAGAGACTTCATTCCACTCACCGGAGGGACCCCACCCCTCCTCCGTTTCCATGGGGATGGGTATCCAGCCCCCCTTCTCTGTTTCCATGGAGACCCGGACCCTGCCCCTCTTCGCCCAGCTCGTAGCCCCCAGCCTGCCTCGGGGTTTTTCTGTGTAGCCCTGGACTAGGGGTGCTTTCCCGGTCAGGTTTCTCCTGCCAGTCTCTCAGGGGTGCTCGGTTCACACTCCTCGGCCACACTCGCACCTCCTGGTCTTGTTTGTTACGGAAAGTTGGTCTCTGCGTTGCCGCCGAAGGTGCCGGGGCAGCCCACCCGGAGCTCTCGGTATTCTTATCTCTCGTCTCAGCTACAGAGAAACGTGCCTTTCTAGGGTTGCGTAAGCAAAGGTTCGGGCTGGTTCCTCTCTGAATAGATCCCTTGACCTGTGTCTGGTAACTACCTCGCCTTCTTGTCGCTGTGGCTCGTAAAGGCTCACTTGCTAACCCTGAGCAGAAGAGAAAATGCAGAACCAGGCTGAAAACCAAGTGATGTGCTGATTATTTTAAATTCTCCTTTTGTGTCTGCCGAACCCACATTTGTAGAACCTGTGTGTTTTCGGGTGAAGGAAGAATCACCATTCCAGACCATGAAAGCTTCAAATTTGGTAATTTCCTCAAGAGACTGTATCTTCGAAAAGAGACGTTATCTGCTCATGGGTCATTCATTTTGTTGCTATTTTCTGCGTGCCTCGTGTCAGTATGGTGTGCGAGGGACAGCCTTTCGGGGCAGAAAGCCTTGTCACGCTGTACAGGCATACTCTCTGGCCCATGTCATGTTTTAGAATACAAATAATTAAAATGATTTGCATTGGCTATGATTTATTAGGGGTTAACCCCTCCTCCCCACGTGTTCTAGCAACGACGGAAGGAATCTATCTTCTTTCTGCTGTCTGATAGGACTGTGTTTTACATGCTGTTTCTCTTTCACTCCTTATGTGACGGGGACTGTGAGTCCCACTGTAGAAAGACAAGGCACTGTTTGGCCAAGCAGTAAGGGGCAAACCAGGCTTTGTAGGTGATTGTGTTCGAAGTGTGGTTTCTGCACCGTCAACTACATGAGACCGTGTACTGCCTCACGGTGTGACTGAGGGGGAGGGTATTGAATGGGAGTGCCTCGCTTGAGGTTTATAGCTGCTGTCCCTTGAACTGCGTGCAGTTTGCTCTTTTATCCTCATTAGGTACATACCCATCTTTCAGGTGTGTGACAGTAGATCACAGTTAGAAGGTCTTTTGAACAGCTAACTTTAAATTTTTGAAAAAGAAAAAAGATATACTACTTTCCCTTAACGGTGACTGATTTTGCCAAATCTTAAATATTTCTAAGGAAGATTTTTTTTTTTGAGATTTTCACTGTGTATCCCTGGTTTACCTGAAACTCACAAGAGATCTGCCTTCCTCTATCAGCCAGGTACAGGGATTAAAGATGTGCACCACTATGCCTAGGCCTGAATTGCTGTCTTTTTTGTTTAAGACAGGGTCTTATCTTGTATCTGTGGTTGACCTGGAGCTCACTATGAAGGCCAGACTGACCTTGAACTCTCAGAGGTCTGCCTGCCTCTGCTGCCTCCCTCCCAAAGTCTGGGATTAAAACATTGGTTTGCTCTTTAAAACGAGGGAGAATGATCCCTACGGTGTTTAGGAGGTAGTTGAGTTCTGTACCATGGCTCTAACTCTGGTCTTGTCTGTTGCAGAAAGGCCATTACCGTTCTGTTTCTCACAACTGGGCTGAGCACAACTGAACCATGGGGGAACACAGTCCAGACGACAATATCATCTTCTTTAAGGGAGAGGAAGATGACCTAACCCCAGATGACAAGATGCTCAGGTTTGTGGATGACAGCGGACTGGTGCCTTCCTCATCTGGAACTGTTTATGATAGGACCACTGTTCTCATAGAGCAGGACCCTGGCACTTTGGAGGATGACGATGACGACGGACAGTGTGGAGAACACTTGCCTTTTCTAGTGGAAGGTGAAGAGGGCTTCCTAATAGATCAGGAAGCAATGTCCCAGGGTTATGTACAACACATTATCTCACCCGATCAGATTCATTTGACTATAAATCCCGGTTCCACGCCCATGCCAAGAAACATCGAAGGTGCAACTCTTACTCTGCAGTCGGAATGTCCAGAAACGAAACGCAAAGAAGTAAGTAAAGCAGCAGACGCGGGCCCAGTGTGGCTGTGGGGCAGCTCCTTGTGCAGCGTGCTGGCAGTTTTAACTGGGGTTAAAGGAGCTCTTGGGCTTCGAACCTACTGTAGTAGTCGTGCCTGTCAACAACACAGCCGCTTCCTGTTTTGTTGTGACTGCTTTCTAGAACTGTTGGATAGTATGGCCACATTGTATTGAGAAATACCACGTTGTAATATCTCAGATTTCCCTCTCCAAATCATAAATAAAGTAGAAATGTCACCGAAGTGAATGCATGACTATGCTGCGAAAGTCACAGCCTGGCTCCTCTGCTAGCAGAGTGACCAGGTTTGTGTCTGGTAGCTAGAAGTGGCTGTAAATGCTTTGTTGTGGAGATGCCTGCAGAAATGTGCTTTATTAATTTAGTGACTGTTTAATGGATAGTGATGGGTAGTTTTTATAATTCAGGCCGGAGACCACAAATGAGACCAGATTAGCGGAAAGTTGCCACGTTCATGTTCAGATAATATGGATAAAGTAATGCCTTTCGGAATATCCCGGAAATGGTAAAGCATTTTTCAAATTGTAGTGCTGAATTTGAATGAAATAAATGGTATGGCTTAAACATTATTCAGGAACTAGTGCAAGTTAGTTTGAAGAGAGATCCCTGGCAGTTACTGTGTTGAGGACTCAATGTCAGGTACTACCAAGCAGAAATAGGCCTCATCTCTTTAGGAAATGTTTTTCTTTTCTGATTTAGTGAAGGTTTGAAATTACATGCAACTTGTACAGATGACTTATTCATGACATTTGGCTTTTCCTTTATAACCTTAGACTCTTTAGTTAGGGGTAGAATGCTTGCCTAACATACTTGAAGGCTTAACCTCTAGCCCTGCAAATAAATAAATAAATAAATAAATAAATATCATAGAGCTGCAAATGCTTTAGGGAGACCAAGTAATCTTTGCAGCACCTCAGACGTCTGCTCTTTGGTCTGTGCTTGAACCTTCCAGAATGGTAAGAGCACAGGCTCTCAGAGCTCAGTCCAATCCAGTTCGTTTGTTGGCCTGCTCTGATTGCTAGGAAGCTTTTGCTTGTATAGGACTAAGGTCCTCATGTACTGCTGCTCCCAGCCTCCAGGTCTGTCTTCCTGACAACCCTTCTCCCATGGGGCAGCCCGCGCATTTTTAAAGTCCTGCCATGTCCTTTGGTACAAGCTCGCCACCTACACTCAGATATCTTTCTGATGGCATTGCCCCAGTCTCTCGTCAGTCTGGTTGCCTTTAACTGAAGGAATCCAGTTTTCCCATTCCTTTCAGGATCCAGAGTTGAGCATGGTCTCCCAAGAGTGAGTCAGCGGTGCCAGTCATGTGGCTCTTACCTGTCTCTTCATCTGGACGTTGTCCTACCGTCACTGTGTCATCTGTGTTTATTACCAGCATCTCACTGTTGGCTTGTGCTTGGAAACCTCTAGAATAGTGATTCTCAGCCAGGGTCATTTTTGCCCCCTAGGAGACAGTTGGTTGTCACACTGGGGATGTGCTAACTGGAACCTTGTAGGTAGGCACTAATGATGCTGTTAGATATTTTATAATGTACAGGCTAGCCTCCGACGATAAGTAATTACCCCAGGTGTCCTCAGGGCTTGGCTGGAAGAGCCCTGTTCTGCATTCTTGTAGGTGCAGCTGTCGGGTTCCGTGCTGGTGAAGGTAGACACTCTGGTAAGCCTCAGGAATTTTCTTGTTGGTTTCAGCCTAGTGTGGGAGCTTGTACAGGGGTCCATCTGCCTTCAATAGACCCAGTTATTCGTTGTTGTGTTGTTGTCGAGATGGCTCACTTAACCCAAGCTGGCCTCCAGCTTGCTGTGTAGTTAAGGTTGACCTTGAACTTCAGATCTCCCGCCTTCCCCTTTCCAGTGCCAGGGTGACAGGCACATCCCTGGCCTCACAAACATTTCAAGCAAGGTGCTGTGACTGCAGATGTTTTCTGCAGCATGGAGGTGGAAATACCTGATGGCAGACATGTGAGCACCAGGGGAAAAGAGGTAGCAGCGAAGGGAACCAGTGCTGTGTTTGGGAACACAAGGAACTCAGCTGCGTGCTTAGGCGAACCTCCAGGGTGGTCTTAAAATTGTCTTCAGTTTATGGGAAAAGCAGAGCATGAGTGTTTCTGAGAGATGGGGACAACGTGAACAGAGAGAGGCAGAAAACCGAGGCCCCTTCCTCTCTTTAGAAAGTGGCCAGCTATCCCCTAAAACAGGGTTTTTTTTTTCTGCGTGTGTATATGTGTGTGTGTGTGTGTTTCTTTTTTGAAACAGGCTCTGAGGGGAGGGGGATTCGAGACAGAGTTTCTCTGTGTAGTCCTGGCTGTCCTGAAACTCGCTCTGTAGCCCAGACTGGCCTCAAACTCTCAGAGATCTCCTGCCTCTGCCTCCCGAGTGCTGGGATTAAAGGCGTGCGTCACTGTGTGCAGCCCAAGCTTTTCTCAGAGTGGTTGTCATCCTGCCTCCCTGGTGCTGGGATTACAGGCACATTGACCTCCACACACAAGCCTTGGCACATGCCTCCCCCCACCGCACGCACACACTCATGCACAGAGAATTGGTCTGTGGTATTCAGTTGTAACAATAAAAATCAAACTATTCCTGTTCCTATTTAATTGGCTAAAACAAATCAAATAGCTGTTCCCACCTTGAGATCTGCCAAGGAAGAGGGGACGGTACACTTAGTAAACATAGTAAAGCGTACTAAAGTCAGAAGTGCTACAAGCCACTTGGGGCTTCTGTGGGGCCCTGGTACTTGCAGGCTGTGGACCCTGTAGGAAGCTTGTGTCTGTTCACAGACTTTACACTTCTGCGATGCTTTTTGGCTATCTCTTTTTAGTTTAACTACATGTGGCCAGTGCATTTTTCTCTAAAGGGCTAGATAGTAAATGTTCTTGTCCTTACAGACTCTGTGGTCTCTGTTACAACCAGTCAGCTCTTCGATTGTAACACAAAATCAGTCATAGACAATGTGCAGGTGGACTGGGGTGGAGCTCAGCCTGGATCACATACCACAAGGCTGTGGGTTCTATTCCTGGCACTGCAGTAAAGCAGAAAGATACTATGTAAATGAGCATGCTGGCCAGAATTGACTTACTGGTTGTAGTGATTGTGTCAACTGGACTAGAATCCAGGGAGTAGCAGGAGACAGGGATGGAAAGAGAGCAAAGATCCAAATCTAGGAAGCAGTGGTTGCTTGCTAAGGCTTTGTGTTGTTTTAGAAGCAGTGGGAGACTTTGGGATTTGGGAGCCCAGGAGTAATGTGACTAAAGGATCATTTCAGAGCTGGCTACAGTGGCGCATGCCTTTGATCCCAGCATTCGGGAGGCAGAGGCAGGAGGATCTCTGTGAGTTCTAGTCCAGTCTGGGCTACAGAGCGAGTTCCAGGACAGCCAGGGCTGCACAAAGAAACTCTGTCTCAAATCCCACTCCCCCCAGAGAAAAAGAAAGTAAAGATTCATCTAGGTCTGGACATGGTGGAGCACACCTTTGGTGTCAGCACTCAGGAGGCAGAGGCAAGTGGATCTCTTGAGTTCAAGGCCAGCTAGGGCTCCACAGTAAGATCCTTTCTCAAAGCAAAAGGTATTTTTTTTCTCAGTGTGTTGAGTTGCTGTTGGTTGATGAGTGGGTAAAGATTTTAGTAGCTGAGAGTCTGCCATGTTCAGGCTGTGTGCTGAAGACAAAGTGTCTAGCTCTACCTTCTACCCCGTCCCTCCCCACTCTAAATGGTGAGTCTGTTAACAAGAACTGGGGCAGGAGGAAAGTTTGGTGGGGAAATGAGTAAGTCTGGTTGGTGTGGACTGTATAGTCCTTGGAATAAGGAGCACAAGTTGAAACCCACTGGAAATGATATGGCTCCTAGGTCCCTTCCGGGTGGCAGTATGAACAAGGAAGATGGTAGGGACTGGAGAGGGAAAGGGAGCCAGGGAAGAAGCCAGTGGTCCGGAGAGGGTGGAATGTGCTCTTCTGAACTCTGAGTCAGGAAGGCTGACCTGTGTGACCTGGAAGAGGGACTGAGGAGCTGCAACTAGTTCTGTCCTTGGTCAGCTGCTCCTCACATTTGAAAAGGCCTCCGGGTGAGCCGGGGCACAGAGCGTGAGTGAGGCAGAAGCTGGGATGACAGAACAGGAAGCAGGAAGTGTAAAGTTTTGTTTTGTTTTGTTTTTAAAGTTTGGTACTTGGAAGAGAAAACCATTGAGTAGCGGCTCAGGGGCTTTGAAACTTTGAAGTTTAGGAAGTTTGAGCTGAACGTGGTGGCTCTCATGCCTTTCAGTTCCAGCACAAGGGAAGCAGAGGCAGAAGGAGTTCCAGACAGCTAGGGCTACGTAGGGAGACCCTGTTTCTAAATTAATTAAGGCCTCAAAAGTTTTGACATAGTTTGGGATCTAGCTTTAGGCCACCATCAGTTAATGATTACTGTCTAAGGGCTCATGAGCAAATGTTTGAGAAATGTAAAATAAAAGCAAACTCCTTCAGAACCTACCGGGCAGGACCTTTGGCTTGCTAATAGCTAAGAACCAAGAAAATCAGAATCTTCTGAATGCTATAAGCTTATGCTATAAACCATTTTCCAAGGATTAGTAGGGCACATTTTGGTAAATGCTGACCTAGGCAAAAGAGAAGATGGGAGGGAGGAGAGGAGGGAGGGAGGGAGGGGCTATGCAGTCTGATGTCAGCTGTCACTTTCCTGCTTGTGCTCCTTAGCAATTAGCTGCTTCTGTTTGCAAGCCTGACTTGCCCTGTTGGTTTCTTCAGGCCATTTAATCGTGAACAGGACAGGGTCAAGGTTGCTCTCAGCTCTCTGTCCAGTGTACTGTGGGTCTATCTCATTATAGGGCCCTCCTTCCTATACATAGTTTGTCCCTCCTGTATATAGGATCGATGTTGAAGATTCTATAAGCTAAATTGGGTTTTAACTGGAGCCCAGACTGGCCTCAGAGTTGCAGCAGTCTTTTGAGGTCCAAGATCAGAAACG